ATATCCTTGTACATACTGATAATTCACTGGTGCACAAAAGGTCTATCTGTAGCTTTCTCGAACCATTTACACAATAGAAGTTAAATTATGATTTTTAACTGGAAAAAAACTGAAGACAATGAAGGTCTCGGTTACCTGTAGCAAACGTGTAAGTTTACTTTCTCTATACGGTATATGAGGAGCGTGTTCCACAAGTGAAGTTATTACACGACCCAGAGTCAGTAAACTTTGATTGATTGATCCGGCCTCACGTGCTCGCTTTTCAACAGCACCTGATCTCCCAACATTTTCACTGCCAGCAAGGTCTACTAAGTGCAATTTTCCAATACGCAGCAATTCTTCACTAGTAATCGCATTTATCTCCTTTATATGGACAGTAACCGTGAAAATAGAGTGCGAGCGACTAAAAGTAAGAGACAAATCTCACGTACCTGGACTGAGCATTTAAAAGAGTACAAGCAGTTTGACGCCTAGCTATTCCTCGCTCAATAACACTGTAAACGTCATCCTTGTCCAAAACCACTACCTCCCGAAGGCCTTTGACAATAACAGAGCCCTTACGGTTTACATCGTCGTATATTGTTAAACGTGTGACATCCTCACTGGCAGACAGAAGGTCAAATAACTCCTCATTATAAACTTCTAGGAAAGATACGCGAACAGAAAAGTCAGAACCCTGGAGGATTATTACTTTCGTTAAAGAGAACATACATTTGATTGCAGAGTTTCAAACAAGTGACTTAGGGCACGAGGAATAATCCCTGCGAGTGGATCCGTTTCCCACTCATAACGAAGCTTGTCAGATCTTTCACCAGTCATCGTAAATGTTTTACCACTACCTGTTTGACCGTAACTATAAAGGTTAATTAGATGCATTAAAGTTTACGCGAAAATTGTGCAATTATAGCCCAAAATTATTTCCTCAATCATCGGAGCAACCATACTTTTGTAGACGTCGATTTGCTTCGAGTATTGATTGAAGACATGATCAAAGGTGAAAACCTTTGACATACATTTATCCCTGACTGTTACTTTTTCCCGGCTACACTCCACACATGACCGCACGGCCTTTTCCAGCTCCTGCTTATTGATAGGCCTGACCAGAATCAACACATTAAATGCAGGTGACATACCGACAACGAACCGCTACTCGAATATTTTGTTGGCATTCTCGAGTCGACATCATTCGAAACGAAACAAGCGCTTAGGACACATAAGGTTTTTGTTGATACGGTCAAACACCTCAATCGGTAAACTTTAAACTCTAACAGTTAGAGTAAGACGAGTATTTTTCTCCGTGATATGAATTCGAATAGTAAGAGATAGGTTTTGGATACAGAGTTATGTTACTTGAAAATGTGTGGCAAGAACATATCAGTCAATATTAGGAATAGCGAGATGTAACACAATAAGTACTATGATAATTAGTAGAAACATTTTAAATTCACGGGACTACAAGATTATTCTGTCAAGCGTTATCTGACGGAATATGTGGATATCAAGTGAATTACTCCAACTCAGTTGATTGACTAATTCAAGTGTGTTGTGTTTTAGCCATTTTACTGTTTTTGTCTGGTTGATTGTCAAGATTTATATCTTTTGATCAGTTTTTATCATTATATCGGTCTATATAAATTTGAGACGTATTGACTGACTCTTTGGACTTTTTGGATTTACTTCAGTGCATATTAGGCTGGTCTAAAATAATACTTGATTTATTATATTCCAAAGCAATTACTAGTGAAACTTATGTCAATGTCGATATAGAGAGAATTCAATTATGGGGATGTCTGGTTCTAGTATAATTCCAATAGTAGTATAACATCACTCAACTAGTATCTGTTCAGTTCTATAGTCCTTTGATTACCATTAATACCACCGTAAATTTCAGTTTATTGAAATACTGGAATATGCATTCATGACTATTTGAATCGGGGTTCTTAACTAGTTTATTCATTCTCAATCGTTTAGTTGAAGATGACTAATATAATAGCAACTTCAGCACATTTGCTACATCAATAGGGTTAACATTGGTCTTTCCCGTGAAAGACTCCGCAGGATGGGACGTTATCACTGGACTCGGTAGGGAAACCCACAACTTACCAATTCAAACTGTGAGACATAATGCCTAGATTTCTGTGGCCTCTCTTGTTCGTTGTATCCTAGTCAACTTTTTTCTTAAATTTAGTTTATTACTAAAGGATATCTTTGATCTGGTGGAGTGAAAGGTATGATGACCAATATGATATATCAAGATTACACGACAATTAATATGTCCACACGGCACTGGTTTGCAATTCAGAGATTTTAGACATCATGAATGTGGTTTATATCCTAGATTGAGTATCTTCTTGGTCACGCTTATTTGAACACGTTTCAAGGAAATGATATTTTTCGTAAGGTAAGGAAATAAAATAGTCAACTCGGACAAGTGTCCCTAGACAAATCTATGGATCTAATACAAACATAATGGTTATTGTTCAGCGAGATCACCAAGCTATTTTATTTACCCAACTGTATTATAATACAGGATTTATCGAGTAAAAAACTATGTTGCGGTATAGAAAGTACAGAGTAGTTATGAGATAGTTAAGGAAACTTATCATTCGTTCTTTCCATAACCTTCACGACTTTGTAGGGCCAGCGAAATGTCACTAAGCCCTAGCCAAATCAATGGCAGTATGGATATCGGCATCAACTGATAATACACTTATTCTACTATCGCTATAGCATCATTACTCTTGCGGCAAACTAAACGTTGCTCATCGGAGGAACTGAATTAATTCTCAAAGCCATATATTTCAGGGCGACCTGATAGAACAATTAAACGCCTTGTTCTTTTTATTATTTCAATGGTTACTCGCTTTACGTTTAACCAACGTCCTACTAATATATCATTACTCGCTGTTTTCCCGATCAGTTTCTGCCACCTACTTTCCATTTTGTTTTAAAGCTCAGCAATACCCGGAGGATTCATATGAATCATTTGGTGATATGGGTGCGCAACAACTCCTAACGTGTTTGGTACCGATTCAAACGGCTGTTGAATCTGGTGGGAGAGTATCTTAGGGCCAGCGAAATGTCACTAAGCCCTAGCCAAATCATCCGGCAGTTGGGTCATTGAATATCGGGCAAATCATCGAACCCCGCCAAGGTCAGGGGCAACCAACGCGCATCACTTAATCGTATGCTATGGACTGGCCCATGCGGCAGTGGTCTCACTTTCGCTTGTATTTACTTTAGCTAATATATTTCTGTAATAACGTCCTCTGTGCTGTACAGTCTTCAAAGCATCTATGGTACCCTGATACGTCGATGGGGTAGTCCACGTAAGGTGCTGACCATGAGGTGTGACTTCGACATTAGCTACTTTGTCATATCGTTCACGTCAACCTCGAATAGGCCTCCAGTCTTTCCGACATAGATCATCTACGTTGGTGATTTATAACTTCATATAGCAGCGAAATCGGTTGGTAGTTGTAGGCATTTACCTTGTCGTCTTCTTTGTGCGAGTGTAGAAACGAACTCTTTTCGACGAAAGTAATCCATTCTTGCACTGAGCAATTGAGTTAAGGAGTAGAGGGGACAATATCGATCAACACATTCTATCAGAACTCTCAGTCTAAGTACATAAAAACCGGGAGATTATATGACTTTGGACGCCTCAAAAGTGACTTGAATTTAGAGACTCACAGTCCAAAGTTTTTATTTTGCCGTGGTGATGGATGGATAGATAGTTTATGGATAGTAGTGTGTTAGGACGGTAGGAACTAGTGGGAAGTTCTTTGGACCTTAGCCTAAGGGTGACAATATTTTGATTGTGTACTATTCCGGTTCATAATAAGTAGTGGTATGAACCTGGCTCTTCAAAAAATTGTGTGGCATGCTTTATCAGACGAAATTGACAGGTTATTCTGTCAAATTCTGTCTTAAAAGTATGCCTATTATGTATTGATTTATAGTTCGACCAGCTACATGCAACGTTGTGGTGATGTCATTCATTCCAGTAGCGTGCCTATTGCTGATACATCTGCGGGAACTAGATTTCATCTCGCTGAATAGCTTAGAAGTTTTCGTGTATGATATGTTAACAAAACCTCAGATTGCTTACAAATGCCGTAGTCATAGATTATTATATAGTGTGCATATAACTGGTAAATCAGTCATGGAGATAAAAAAAGTAATCAAAGGCAAGGTTGCTTAGTTCCAAAAGGTATAAGACTAATAAATCGTTAACCTCCCATAATCGGTTCAGTCCAGCCTATAGCATTGTTGATCTATTCTGAAGCGGGTAAGCTGAGATGAGTTTCAAATAAGCTTACTCCTGTTATCTAGTTTCTAATATCGAGATTAAGTTTGAAATAGGTAAATAAAAAGAGCTTAGAAGCGGTTGACTCACCCCAGGGAAGCAGGAGCTTCGGGTGATCTCGAGTATACACATAACGGTCAGGATCCAAGATCAAACTACACACTGCTTTACATTACACCGCATGTTACTGATGCTGGTAATGTAGATTATGCGTGGGTTGATGTGTCAATAATGACCGTATCGGGTCGGTCATTTGAAACATGTGGATATTGTCACTGATAGTTATAATAAGACAAGCCTCACGCAGGACCATTATACATAGATGCTTATCGTGTATTAGTTCTCTGAGTTCGAAGATTATCAAACACAAACATTTGAAGCTAAAATCTAAATACAGAATGTAAGAAACACACTGACGAAGCAATCTGTATCTGAGTGCACGGCTCAGTCCAGCAGTTAGCTTATTTATGGACTGATGCCACGATTTGATATGGTCTTCCAAATCTTTTTTATGACTTGCTCCTACAACATTTATCATCGTACACCAAAGGAAACAGTGGACAGACATACGTGTTACGTGCTGCAGTTATCTCAGTTGGTATAGACCTGTAGAGTTATGGTCTACTACAATTTTAGTACTGCTCTAATAATAAACCTAACCATCACATCGTAAGTCACCAATACATGATGGAGAACAAGCTTTGTCAACCCCGAGAAATACAAAAAAATGTAAGTTCAACATACAATCTCCACTGAACTCTATGGAAAAGAAATTCTTTTTTCAAAGTATGAGTAAATCTAAGCACAAAAGACTATTCAACACAAGAAATATATTAGTTAAATAGGCCACAACTTTCTAGGTAGGTAAATTTTCGATGTAGCAGTAATGGCGGTTATATCACTATGGATGTGAAAAAAATAATGCAACTCAAAAAGCAAAGAATCTAAAGGAAGATTACAGTATGACGCACATGGCAACATGAAATAAATAAGCAAAAATGAACGTTCAGTAGTAGGTCATAGAATAAAATTTCATACACTTTCAGAGTTGTAAATAGTAACCAATTAACAATTATTCTTTATAAAAATATTATATTATGGCAAATATAAATATACATGCTTCTTAGTGAAGGTAAATACACAAAAAAGCAAAAATTAAAATAAATCACACTTATTGAATAGAAATAGAGACAACAGTTTATGGAAGTAACTAATTATTATTAAAGAATACTGCAGACATTGAGTGTGCAAGAGGAATAAAGACCAAATAACATAGAGACAATAGCTGCATGTATATCGAACAAGAAAAGACGAAGTTATGGTCGAAAAATGGGTGACCCCAAGTCGTACCTTAAATAGAAAGAAACAAAAGCTCAACATTCCATTTTACTTTAGGCATAAAGAAGCTAAAAACTGGTGCAACATTAACTAATCAGTAGGAATAGGAAATTTATATAGGACGTTATTTAGTAAAATCAACCTTGGTGGTTCACCAGCCAATCAGAAAGATGTTTATTTAAAGAAAAAATTAGTGATAGGAAGCAATACAATCACAGTGAAAAAAGTAGTTTCGATATGATATAACGACCCTTACAAGTTGAGTTGTTCATTATAGTGAAAGAAAAAGATTTATAATTAAATAATGAGAGCTTAGATAAATTTATGAGTTAGGGTAAGAACGGTTGTGGTTGGAAGCTTTAAAGTAGGAAAATACGCTTGGGCCATACGAACGTCTTTGACTATGGATTGAGTCATTTCAAGTATTCTAATTTATAAGCTGCATTAGTGAGCAAAGATTTCATTTAATCTAGTTTACGCACAATCTCATATTCACTATGTGGTTACGTAAAAGATATTTACATCAATTCTCAGTATTTTTATAACTAAATGTTGACGATTTCCCTTATTCCTAAAAAGACACATGCCGTCTTTCACTGCGATCTGAATTTTGCACAAAGCCTGAGAAGTTACTATGAATTTAATTGGTCCATTTAAGATCGTCAGTATAATTTAGTTTTACCCGTTATTTGATTTGAACTGTAGGGAAACATCCATTTTGTTAAGCACCGAAAGTCAAAACAAATACTGACAAACAAAAATTAAGCATCTACATGAACGTCATAATGGTTTCTCACTTGCGAGGAATATAGTTTTAGAAGAATAATCCTAAAATATATCATGAACAAAAAATAATTTGTCTCGAAACATGCAGAAAATATTTTGAGGTATACAAGCGTAGTTGGTTACAACCAAAACCTTTCACACTTGGAAGTCGATAAATTTGTTGTTAACTCTTGTGTTATTAACCTGAGTAAATAGCTTGATTTATGTTATTTTCCAAGGAAAATCTTGCTTCATTTAGTCGTAAAGTCTCCAATAGCAGACAGTGTTTCACTTTAGAAGCCAATTGATGAAAAAATATTTAAAGATAGACATTAATCAATGAACCAGATTCATAAAACATCATGCATAATCTCATCATAACAGATATCATTAGTTGAATAGATGTACCTTCACATAGGCAGAAACCATCAGGTTGAAGTGACTAAAAATAATCTGAACAATGAGCTTATCCGACTCCATCTTCCATATATTGAGGGACAAAATAACTAAACATGATATTCACCATGTGTTTAGCTGGAATTCAACCATCCGGGTTGAAAGTAATTTCTGAATACACGTATGAATACATTTTTCCAATAAGATTGGATTTTATGAGGATAAAAAACACATATAGTGTTTATATGAATGCTAAATATTTCACAAGTGGAGTGAAATACTTCGATAGTTATGATTATTACCTTAGTTCTAAAAAGAAACACAAACGTCTATTTATTTAAAAAGAAACAATAAGAAAATAAAGCATTAAACTTACCACTTAGTATCAGCTTTCCCGTCTACTGAATCAATAAGATTTATCGACAAAGTTCCAATGAAATGCGTTTTTCCACTACGTGTAAAACGCCCAACATGATTTTTGATATCCAGCCTTAAAATGGTTAATGGAAGGTGGTCAGCCTCAATCGGAAATTGAAAACTAGAGTATAAAAGAGAGGAAAATAATACCAAGTAGACGTAATTAATAGACAATTGTATATAAATAATAATTGAAGGTAATACACTGTGAGATCAGTACTGTATGTTTTCTGAAACCGAAGTTAATAAACAGAGTAGTAGTGGTACTGATCTGAGACTACCACGTTTTTAGATAATACCATAGTTTAAATAACGCAGATTTTTAAAGTATATGTAAAATGTGATCGATGGACGAACCCAACAATAATAAAGTGAAACGCCCACTACCACATTAACTTCCTTTGACCTTGTGTGACTGTATCTCTTTATTAACCAATCACAGTTTTATGTTCATCGTAAAACAATATTTGCTTTGTTGACTCGTTTTTACTATTCTCTGGCTACTGTTCGGTATGTTATTTGTCTGTTTTTCCCTGTATTAATAGACCGTACTGTTTGTTTGTACACTAACGATGGTAATTTATGTTTTAAAACAGATCAAGTTTGTCTAGCCAAATTACTTGCTTGTTTGTACTTGGGCCAAACCAAGACTCTGTATTCGACGGTCTAGCGAATATCTCAGAATTAAGCCTGTAGGAAATTGCTTCCTACAGTATATGTTCATGATCTGACAATATCCATCAAAGGTACTTTTCCAACAAAACTGTTTTTAGAATGAACAGAAAAAAACTTCGAACGGTATAGTACCTGAACACAGCATATTAATTTGGCGAGTACAGTCACTTCCGTAAATATTTAAACGTACGTATATATTCCATACATACAGATGGAAACTATAACATGAGATGTTACCTATCTTTTTTATGTATTGAGTAACAGATGAGGAGAAAAACCTTTAATTAAAACTGAAACATTGTTACTTATAATTTAGGAAGTATATGTTCAACAGTTATGAAAAATATGTGTCACTTTTGTATTTGTTCAATTAGTTCAATCTATAAACAATTCTCACCACTGATTCCCAATCAATGGAGTTCTTTGGTTGCATGAGAAATTAATAAAATTAATCATATGTGTGGTTTTCATTACATCACCAATCATAGGTAGGTAGCAAATGAAAGTGATAGAAGCACTTGGGGTGTAAAAATATTAGTGACATAGAAATACATGCAATCAGTAACGATTATAAACTTAGGAAATTTATGCGTGTTACAGGAACAGACAAAAATTCATCCCAAAAAAGAAACTATATATATTCTCAGGATTTGAAGCAAGATACTTAAAAAAAATGATATGCTCATTTTTAAGGCCAAGGTAGCGCGACAATAGAAAGTAAAAGTGGTATCATATGAGAAAATGTCTAGAAATTGAGACAGTGCAGAGCATTCCGAAGACTTAGAACGCAAATTGATGAGTACATTGAATCGATTCCTAAAACGTGTAGCACTTTCTTGAGGTAAAATGAGTACATTTTTATTGATAATATTTTAAGACTAACACAGTAACATTATGAAAACGTGTAATATTAAGTAGTAATTTAATAATTCAAAGTCATTATCAACCGTTTAATTTACTTTAATCTGAATGTTCACTTATAATACCGGATGACAAACTAAGAATTAATAACAAATATCTTATATAATATATACATACACATGTACTAACTTACTTTTCTTCGTACTTTGGATCCAAATTATCTTTAACAGTTTTAGTCTTTTTTGAATCACTGACCACATTGTCGTGTAAATCCATAAGATAAAGTTTCACATATGGATCAGATAGACCGTCTTTATCAACACCGCTTAAATGTCTACATACATATGGATGAGATAGGAAATAAAAATATCATTAATAAACTCAACAAATAGAGGATGGATGAATTAAAAATCTAAGACAAATGAGCTATACTAAGTCAGATGCAGTTATTTTACATCATGTTATAAATGAATGAAGTTGAACACTGGGTTAATACAAATGTATTGCTTCTGATCTCGTTTGTTTTCAACGTGATGCAACACACTACTTGGTGAAGTTCAGTAGTTCAAGATAGAATTATTCATTTCTTCGGGTTGTGATGTGTATGGTTGAAAAATGTTCTCAAACAGAAGTGTTGATTTATTCTCCTAACTGTCCTGGTATTTCATTTTCCTATAGTTGAAATCATGAGTCAATTGAAGCTAGACCACCATGGAAAACCTGAAATCACTGGACGGCCGTCTCGTCCTAGTAACACCGTTGGATGACGGCCAGCTCAGTGGTCTAACGGTTAAGCGCTCGCGCGCGATACTGACAGGTTCTGAGTTCGAATCACGCGGGGGCGAGATCGTGGATGCGCACTGCTGAGGAGTTCCATACTAGGACGAAACGGCCGTCCAGTGATTCCAGGTTTTCCATGGTGGTCTAGCTTCAATTGACTCATGATTTCAACGATTGAAAATTCCAAAAAAATCTCCACAAAACCCCTTCTGATTTTATTTTTCTCCCCAAGTGAATATTTTTTACACGCAACATTCTCTGAAGCTTGCCACCTATTGAAATATAGTGCCGAATCTTAAATTCTAGACAAATATCGAAAATCAAGAGGGACTGGACGGCTGTTTCGTTCCAGTATGGGACCCCTACCCCTTAGTAATGTGTAGCTATGTTCCCGCCGGAGATGACTAATTTTCCTACTAATTTACTATAGTTATCGAAGTGAAAATGATGTAAATCGCGCTTTAATTAATAAAATAACGAGATGTCAATATAAAGTGTCAGTATAAATCTTCATTTAAGCATACATATTTGTATGTAGTTTTATGTCTGCATAAAAATTAAAGTATCACAATAAGAGTGGCATAAATACGAGTGAACTACTTACTGACATTCATGTACTGTTACTTCTAAATAGTTCGATAGACAATGAAACTGGATAGTTAAACGAATACGACCCAGTGACGAATTGCTTATTTGTTGTATACTATTACTAGTCATCACTTGTCTTATTGGCTGAACAGACTGATTATCGAAGTTTGTTGTTGATAAAGATTCTGTGGAAGAAATAATATCCTAGAACAAAAAATAATTTCAAAGAAAAGGTAACCGAAGTATCAGTTGACAGTAGTTTTACTTCTGGAGGTGGTTAGTATGAAGTTTTATGACAACATAACGCATATTCATATTAATATATATACAGTTCTCGAAAGTATAGTTCTATTCAGAGAATATCACAAACAATAAATGGATGAAATCGTCAATGTTGCTACTCAAAAGTTATCGTGAACACGTTTTCTAAAAATACCTTCAACACATTGATTTCTAGTGTGTTTAACGTTCCATAACTAAAAAAAATTATGACCGCAAATTTTGGAGAGCTCTATAGAAGTATACGTTGTTAGTAAACAGTGGATTAAGCTTAACAAGTACTGATAGTCCATAAAATGACAAAGATTACTTCAATTATAGTCAATGAACTCAGTATATTGAAACAAAATTAATCCCAGTTTTATCTAATGTATACGTAAGATACTTGAAATGTGTATTCAGTCTTTCTCGAAGTGCTGATTTAGTACAAATTCAATTTATTGTGATCACAGTCCTTTATAACACTGATCAAATGGTGCTATGATACAAGGAATGCTTGTACTTTCAGGCCATAGTATCTCACGAAAGTAATTTCGAGAGTGCTCAGGCTAAATCCATCATCGAATGACTGTAGTGGTGAAAATCTCTAAGTCTTCTGACAGTCTACGTCTACATAAATAACGAAATTATTTCATAGCGTGAAGAACTGTTCCTTTTACTGACAGCTAGTAAATTCTTCTCAAGAAGGGGAATAAATAAATTTATAACAGCTAGCGAACTAAATACGGAAGGAGGTTAAGACACACAAAATAGTATCTTGCAACTTTGAAGAAGATACTGTTTTAGTGAACCGATAATGATGCTCATTTAACAGCTGTCAAAATTATTCCAGCCGAAACCAAAGGTTTACTGTTGTTCGATTGTAACTTAACTATGTTAACATAAATTAAGTAATATCCTTCGGTTACAACAAAAAACCACACTAAGAAAGTTTTCATTGGAGGCTAAAATCACATGAATGTAGTAAATCAAATACTAGGAAAAGCCTTTGCACCATAAGTCTAGACGTGTCAACTCAATTTCTTTTGGAACCGACCATAAGAAGTTTAAAACCAAACAAAAATTATAATCAAATTACTGAAGTTGAAATACAACCAATCGAATCAAATGATAATGAAATTTATTACTGTTAAGAAATAACATAAGTCATAAGTATCATAGTACTTACATTATCATCAGGAAAACGATTTCTCACAACCATTTCTGGATTTCCTGTGGGGGATTCAGCAGGTTTTTCAGTTGGGATAGCATTATCAGTAAAATTCTTATTCAAGGATAAACTCCGTTTTATATTGGTATTATCATGCCCGCTTAAATTTTGGCGTTGTCCAGGAAGTAAAGCCTGTTATAATAAGAAACATTTATTTCTCCTTCAGTAATCAATCATTTAATGGATATTTAGTTGTTCTACAGAGATTATTCACAAAGTTGAAACCTATCAGCTAAACTATCATAAAAGTGTGCTAGGAATTAAATCACAACTTTGTGTAAACGCCCATAACTCGATGGATTGGTTAGTGCAAAGAAGCTAAAAACAATTACTAAATAGTTGAGAGTTATCTATTGAACAAAGGAGTTAGTCATATATGACGAAGAGCCTGGTACAAATACGGATTGACAAAAGTTGGGATACTACATTAACATGATGAAATCAAATTAACAAGATGAATAATAAAGAAGTCGAAATAATGCAGTAGTAGTGATAATGAAAAGACTAAACACTGGGAATCTTATTTGAAAAGGCAGAAAGAATAGCTATGTATGAAGGGATATGGGAACGGAAGATCTAGAGAAATGTTAAAATGAAATATTCCTGCATCACTTTGACTGACTCTGAGTCATCCAAAGTCTCCAACCACTGGTCACGGTTAATGAGCGGACCGTGAAACAGAAATAACAGTAGGACAACGATCTATGATTAAATTTTGACAGTCAAAGAAAAAACAGACTTGTAAGTTAAATCATTTTCTATTTAGAAATTTCGGATATTGTGTTTTCAAACTGAATAAGTATCAACTCATTCTTATTCAGTCAAGAATAACTAATGTATGTAGGTCCAGTAACTAATATTTTCTTGAATCGTATCTTCGATGACTAATCTTTACAATCACCACTCGTGATGTTACTACGTCTAAAAGTTCATTTCTCTATTCTTATGGGGTATGGAAACTTGAACTGATGTATATGAGTACCAGGTTCTATGTTATGACTGACTGAATTATCTAAGACAACAAACCATAATAAAGTGGAATAAGAATCCCATATCTAAATGCTAGGCCGAAACATGAAGTCAACCTGTGAAGTTATTGGTTTTATGAGAAGATATAGATCTTATAGTTAGGGTCCATGAAACAATTGTAAATAATTATCAGGAACCATAAGTGGTCTATAAACAAATGACCTTTATTTAAAAAAATCTAAATCATGTACATTTTGTTATTTAATGTTATTATTTCATTTTCGCTAATGTTCTGTACTTGAATTAGATAATTACTATCATGAATGGTTTCACTTTTTATTGATTACATACTATATTCCAGTACATAGTATGTTAGTTGTTTTTTCTGTCTGTCTTCTATTGGTTTGAAATTAATAGAATTCGGTGTAAAAGGATTTTATATAATTCAATTGAAGATATTTGAGAAAGAACCTTAGAAATAGTGTAGTATTTAGACAACATACAACTGTCTCAGATAACAGACTTCGGTAGTGCATGTAGACGACGAGTAGATTTATAATAAAACCAAAATATTGGCCTCATAAATTATGAATTTATCAATCTTAATAGAGTAATTAGACATGAACGTTATTTAAATGGTGTTACTCATGTAATGTGATAAAAAGAGAATTTGAAATACTGTTAACAACCAAATGTAGCAGTGTGGTGTATGCTTATTATGTCTGTCATTATAAGTAGTATGTAACACCAATCAGAAGTGGAATGGCTGGCTGTAAAAGGTTGAGAAGATCGAATTGAAGAGAACGGAAATGTAAACAGAGAGTAATTATAATAGCAATAAAGGAACGATGAAGTTCGAGACAATTGATGGAAGATTTGCAAGTGAAGTATTTAATGTATTGTTTTTCATATTTTACGAAGACACTCTGTAACTTTGCGTTATACAATAAACTGGTAGTCCCCACCTGGCTTTTCATTCATTGCAATAGAATTTCAGAAAGTCAGTAATTTACGTCTTAGTAAACCCTGACGATTAAGTCAATATGGGATTATTTTCTCATGTCAAAGATATTCACGTTAAAAGTATAGTGTATCAAATCAATATTAATTAAAAATTTCAACTATTTATTCTAAAATTTTACGTGAAGTATTGATAGAACTCACCAACAGTTGTAAATGCATGTAAATGGTTGATGTTTCTCGACCCGTATCTTGTAAGGTGAATGGTTGCGTGACAGACATATTCTTCTGTGTTAATAAGGTTTGTAGTGAGATGTTACAAGATCCTAGTTTTGTCTCCGTCCGACTATCACGTATCTAAATCATGTCACAAGGGAGACATGGAGTACAATTTAACATTTTAATGAAACATGTAAAAATGATATGAAGAAATCAGGATTACGCAATGGTGTCTCGGTTATCAATTTGTACGAATACACACAGTGAACATACGAACAGACTTATAACTGTTCTACTGCACAACCTGACGTAACAGTGGATCAATTCAGTCACCGAATAACCATGTTAGTAAGTTGTCATGCATAGAGAAATATATTAGAAGCTGGAAAAACTTGAGACAGTAACTGAGAAAAATCGGACTAGAATAGTGGATGTTCAATATTTGAAGCAAGAAGTACGAGTGAGTCAGTATGAGGATGACTATAAGTTATTAACTGAAAGTCAGTGGTTTCATTGACTACGGTAATCCATTATTGTTAACGTTTCGAAATGTTTCCCAAATTACTTCAATCAATGCAGGTCACCACTCTTACGTAATCACTGTATTTGCTTATCAGGGAATCCTCTGTTTGTCATTAAGGAGCCAGAGACGAACTGAATGTCGGAGGTCGATTTGTATTCTCGGACATCAAATAGATTAAATTGTACATTAAAACCTTAATTGATAGGTTATAGCGCATTACAGAAATTGTTGTTGCACTTCATGGTAAAGAATTATCTATACTACTGTTAAAATTTTTAAAAACGACCTAACAGCAGCCTGCAATAGTTTTATACTCACGTTCATATGTGCGACACATTGTTACAAAATCTCATTACTTTAGACGAGAGGTATACCAAATGATAAAATATTCTAGGTAACTAAAGATAAACACCTACCTCTACAAATACAGAAACTATGGGCCAGTATTCTAATAAACTTAGTTTTAAGTAAGTCAACTTGATCCACATCTCTGCTTCAGTAATTATGACTACTAAAAACACCCTCCCAAAGAAAAAGAAAAACATGAGTTAAACTTACAATAAGTTGAAGTATATCAACGTTTGGATCACTAACAAGAAAATGATGTACAGAATTCCAAACAGGATTTTGTGTTTTTTCTTTAACTTCGTTTGTTTGATAATCACGTCCTAGATGGATATTACAAAATGGTGAAGGTTCTTGTAGTTGTTTTACGTGCTGATAATGGAAGAAACAGAAGAGAAAGGAAGTTGAATAAAGGGCAACTGTCTAAAATCATACGTAAATGATTCAAAGGTAATGTTTTTAGATACAAAAGAAAAAATGTTCAAGATGATGTACAAAAACATTGGATTTCAGTAACTTGTTAAACAAAAAAGGTGATTGGAAGTTACTGCAGATATACATTAGTTGCATAATGGTATCGTCAATTAGCTGAAGTAGCTTGAAAGCCAAGTGCTATTTACTGTGTCCATGTTAAAGTGTTAACTCTGCCTGGAGCCCTTCTAGAGTTACTCCCAGTCCCCAACCCGAGTAAAGGAGGCCGGTTTGACTTTGAAAATCACATTGATGATGCATAGATTGACAGACTATTCCTAACAAACTTCAGCAAGGAGAACAAAATGAAACTACTTAAATATTATTATTCACATAATCTACGGTAAAATCATTTTTACGATTAGCCTGTTCAGATTTACGTAAGTAGTCTAGATTAACTTTAGAGGCAAGTAAGATAAAGAACAGTACCAAATACACCTTTCTGTGATAAATACGACCTGTTAAAATCCATGAAGTTAGCATTTATAATCTTGTAGTTATATTCGTCATAAAATCTAGCATCAAGTGAAGTTTACACTTTAGTATCGATTTTCGAAAATGCGACTAGAGTATTGATTATACTTGTCATAAGGACTCATAACCATCAGGCGTTACACGTCAAAATCCAAAGTGATATCTATTAGGACAATGTTTTAGACAAAGAAAATCATTCATGCATAAACGTTATGATAAGTAATAGCGAAGAAATCAGTATATATTTCATCCTATCACTTTAACATAAAAACATCAATTACAAAAGTGTACATACCTAACCTTTAACAATAACCGAGTTATGATAAATGAAATGTTATCTTAAAACTTTTAAATGTTGAAAACTGAATGTTCTGGGAAGAATATTAATGAAAATGTTTAATTAGGGAAGGTGGGAACTCATTAAGAGTGTAAAATGTATATCATCTAGAACATGATATCTTAGAACACGCGAAACCTAGTCAATAAAGACATTGAAAAAGGGTACAGGCAATCTATCCAATAACCGTATTTAAATTTAAATTTGAAGAAACGATAGTATTCCTTTTTGATGTATGAATTATGGATAAACGGATGAATATTGTGAAAGTGAGCTGTCAGGTGTGACTTATTCCTATCATATATTATGCCACTTATCTCGTGACTTCTGCTACGAAGGCCCCAAATAATTTATTTTTTTTCCTGTTGCTAACAAATTTTAGTTGTAAAGAGTAAGTCCTCCATAACTTTCAATGCAGATTACCACGTTGAAGTGTGCTCTTCTCTAATAAGCTGATTTCTCTCCTAGTTTGCTATTCAAAAAGGTCATCGCTGCGATTATACAAATAGTTGCTGTAACACATTCGACTTGTGAGAATAGAAAGAGCCTTTTTAACTTTTCTCTTACTGAGACGTTTGGAGGAGATTATAACGAAATTATTGTTATTGTAGAGAAGAAATTAGTTACTAGGTGAGAATACAGAGACTAGCTCCAGTTTCAGACATAATCATCTAGGAAAAAGATTTAACAATTCAAAGTTTCCTTCAAATTTATATTTTATTATTTCCATTCAATATATATAAAAAAATACTGCACATATTTGATCAAGTTTACAAAATAACTTACTGGCAAATTATTCGCTTGTTCAATAACAACGTATAAAAATCCTGAACTCATACTTCGTCCGGATGCTTTACGATACTGTAAAGCCTGTTCCATTGACTAGTAATCATCATGTAGTTTGGAACGGCATGATTTAGTATAAAGAGAAAAGAAGGGAAACAGAAGATGAATAAAAAGCGAATATTATCACAAATAAATTATAAAATAATAAATAGAGAGGGAGTATCAGCAATGAAATTATGTCAAATCACAATTAACAAGATGAACTGAATAGTAATTGACTGACAAACGATTCGATTATGCGAATAAAGTGACTAAAAAATAAAACAGACAGTAGGAATAACAAGTAAACATAACAAATTTCTTGTGATGAGATTTGAGATAAAAAAATCAAAGTCAATGAATTCGCAATATCACGAAGAAAATATCCAACTAGCTTGAGAACGTTTAGTTTGTAATGCATTTTTGTACACAAAACATGAACAGCTGTATAGAATGATCGATTGCCGCACAATCATAGAGTAAACATTTAAACATGAAACACGAATGAAGATGATATACATTTACAGTGGATTTGTAATTATTTCAACAACAAATTTCATATAAATCAGTTCACAAATTAGAAATCTGAAGACTAAAATAAACAAACAGCAATCAAAACTAACAATTAATACAAGGAAATCATGTTGATTTAACGACTAACAAAGGTTTTAATATTTTTATCACTTTTAATACAATTCCGTAACCAGGTACAAGATCGTGTACTCAAATTGAAGACTGGAGTTTTATGTGAGGTCTAGCGAAATTACCCGACCCATAAAACAATATAGGTGAGGAAGATTGGAACTATTGATTTAACAACCGAAATTTAAATGCTTTAATCACTAAGTCATTTCTCGTACGGTATTCACATTCAAGATGAGTAAACCAATAACTGGTATAGAAACATAATCACCTAGATTCAGGTGAATAGATTGACTCGTGATTTCAATTGTGAAAATACCATAATCTCCACAATTCCCTCATACAAACAGTGCAATCAGATATTTATCTCATTTTTATGTGAAGCTCACAATAATCTAACTTCGATTAGATAGACTTTTAAGCATTATGGTGCTAAGATCTAGTTATAAGCCATATATATATATATATATATATATATATATATATATAGAGAGAGAGAGAGAGAGAGAGAGAGAGAAAAGTTTGTGGTGTTGACTAAATCAAGTTTTGCAAGTACATCCTATAAACAGTACAAAAGTCAACATTATTTAGGCTACCACAAATGTTAATAATATGAATCATATAATATGTGACTAAATTTAAAAGTGATAATTCAATCAACTGATAAATGAAATAAAGGAAACAAAATATGTAGAAATACAATCTACAATGAAAATAGAGATTTGGAAATCTATCAAACTAAGAATATTCAATATCTTATCTGTTTAGAGAGAAAAAAACACCAACAACAATAACATAAGTATCACATAGAATCTCAATAGATGAATTAAATTTTCAATAACAAAAAATAAAACAATAACCAGTAGGAATTGAACAAACTAAACATTATTCTATTGAAAATGGAATGAATGCTTTAAAAAAATCTATTGAATTGTTTTTTTTTTTTGGGGGGGGGGGGGTATTGATTGTAGATGGGGATATGTAATAAAAATTAATCAATCATACAAAATACACATAGACATAATGAATTAGTGGTAAATTACAAAGTGCATGCGTAATCAACTTTAACATTAAAACTGTGATACTGAAATTTACACGAACTCACCATGTATAGTATAGTTGTATGTAAAATTTGACAAGTAATCATAATTAAGAAATAGGAAAATTGAAGAAAATCAGTAAATAACAATAATATTATACTAAGATATATTTCTTGTGTAACATAATGTTACTAAATGCAAACGAATATATTTAGGGGATACTTCCAATGTGTAAACACTTGTTATATTGTCTGATATTTGTTCTACGGAGAGGGTAGTGAAGGATTAAATTGGAAGATTTTTGGCTTGTTTTTATTTTGTTTGGAAAGCATCGATTTGAGTGGTTTGTATTATTTTCTCTGAATAAGTTGTCTATACAATCTTCGTGTCAATTTCAAGGTTGCTCGTCGTTTTGAATGATCCGCTATTTCACATAAATATTTTATATACAAATCATTATGATCTTGCGTAAAATTGAAATGTCAAAAAACTTCACTCTAATAAGCTTTGAACCGTTTTTTTCGGAAACTGTAGACTAACAAACGACTTTTGAAAAGTTTAATTTGACATGGATCGAATTATACAGATGTTGATATTTTTAACTAAAATGTGATCAATCATGGTTGGTATATGTGAATCCTGCACAGATTACCTCTATATAGACATTATGACACATGTTTGTATATAATAAGTAGGATGTAGCGAGTTCCGTTTGTTTAAAAGGGATAAGCCAATCTAAGTGAGCGGCTATCTGGACTGAGTGGCTAAGTGGATAATGCAATCGGGCTGGCAGAAAAGGGTTTTGGATTCTAGTCCTAGAGTGAACATCAACTCTGGAAAGCAGCAACATCCATTTGAATAGTCTCAAACAGGACGAAACGCGCGTCCTCCATTCCATTGCTGGTCACATTATATACTAATTTCTAAAAATATTATCGGGCTCTAATATCTGAAATAGACATTCGCGGTGGTAGAGATTACGATCACTAAAAATTTATACTGGCAATCTGAAATCACTGCTTTCAAGGATTTGATTAGATTTCTGGTTGGTAGGGTAGAGAAGGTAAAAAGACCAAAAAATCTGGCTCCCTTAAAAAATCATTTCCGTAGACTGCTGATATTCCCTTAGATTTATTATGCAATTCCCAAACTACGCGAATGACTATTATGCACTTAAATTTATCAGGTATATCAAACAGTGGCGTGGCAATTGATTTGGTTACTAAACACTGTTTAGTTGAATACTTCGAAAAACAATTTTTAGAAACCATGCCAGTTATCACACAGTGATAATTTCTAGTGGTGACAACATGAAAAACAAATAAGCCTTCCATTAGGTAAGTCAAGCTCTTAATTTTACATGGAGTGCAAGGCTACTCAAGCCTAAAAAAGTAAACGTCCTTCGTTTTTTTCCAACTCACGGCAAATTGTACAACAATAATTCGACTGCATAAATGGAAAAGAGCCTCACATTGGGAAAAAGACAACTACCTAGTAGTATTTGATTCGCAATATCAGTATGTATTAACAAAAATACAGAATTGGGTGGGCTATTTGTCACTTAATCTACGATCATAAAACTTACCTTTTTAAAATTTCTAAGTTGCATGGTCAATATGTGGAAATTTGTACAATGATGAAAAGTTTATAGTTTGTATGACTGTAAAGAATAGTGGACTGTGATAAAACGAAACTATGTTTCAAACTTTGGAGATTATTGACAAAAATTAGTCAAGTGAATGTACAATCAAGTATTATTTGTCATTTAAATATAAATAATTCAATTTAATGCAAGTACCTTCATTTGTTAAATGTTCACTTAAAAGGTGAGATATGAACGAAGCAGTTTGATAACCAAAATTAAGAGCAACAACTAGGTGTACACAACTACAAAGTACTATAATTAAAGTAAATCACAAACAAGAGTTTATATCATTAGAGAATTATATCGTTATAAGTAGGTTATCGCTAGTTTTACCATAGAACTCTTTAAAGCCACAAGTTTACCCAATCAAGTAAACACTAACATAAACGAAATCCAGATTCGAGGGAGGAGTAACTAGATGATTGACAAAAAAGGCATTTAAGATAGACATGATTTTCAAATTTTAGATAAAGTTACCGATAAATTTTGCATTCATGTCGTAATTTTCTATATTGTGATAAATTATGGGATACGTATAACATCTAATCATTGAGTTTTTATCGAGAAACTAAAATAGTACACATTTAACCTATTATGTTGTATAAAATATTTAAAAACACCTCGGCAGATTAATGTCTACATTCGATTAAAAATATCACGCAAAATCATCTTGTTAATGTTTCACCAAAGGAAATTGTTTTTGAGATGATAACTTTGGTTAGTACTACGAAATGTTTTATTTGTTTGTAATACATAACAATGTTGGGTAAGACAGGGGAGTGATCTCCGGGATTCAAATACAAGCGGGTAAGGTTATAAGAGGAGCATTTCTTCAGTCTTCGATCCACAAGCCAGTGGAGTAAAGTCAAGAGATGGAATCCCTTGGAAAACGGTGACCATAGTATTTTATTCGTCCAGCCTATAATAGGTAAGTCTTCTGTATTCATTACAAGTGTTGAGATTTTTGGGAAATAGATATTTTTAGAAAGCGGGAACAATACTAATGAAGTTACGTGGCAAAAAACCACCACTTTGATTATGAGCAATTTACAGTGGCATTTAAAAAAGTAACGTTATAATGAGACGGATACTACAAAAAATTTGAACTTGTTTATCGAATCATCTGTAATTATGATTTTGTTATATATATATATATATATATATATACTGATTTATCTGTTAGGATAGTGGATTGCAAGTTGTCTGTATTCACTATTCAACAACAGGAAATGGAGCATTTTCCCCAAAATATCAGGTTGTAGCACTGGCTGAAAATTGACATAGTAATCAGGAAGCAATAAAAGCTAAAACTAGTTAACCTTGGAGTTTTAACTAAAATTTCGCGTTGAAGATGCTCTGTGAACAGTAAGTGCAAACATGTATTAATAGTAATATCAAATGCAAACATATATCCAACGATTACTACAGATACTTCTTTAACATAGTTATGAAGCAGATTAAAACACTGGTCCTAAACACAGTCCACATTTCCTTGAATAAAGCAGTTTAGTTATTAGAGACGGGGTTTTCCAAACTACCAGTAAAATATTAAACAGTAAATGCCAAATAACTTAAGAGAATAAACTGGTGAAACAAGAAAATAAGAAAAGACAGATAATATGATTCTAAATATCTAATACTAATAGTAATAATAATGATATACGACAAAATTGAATTTAAAATTATTTTATCAGTGAAATACTCGGGTACTAGTACTGAACCGGTAATCTGGAAGGAATGTTTCCAAATCGCAAGTTTTTTAATTATAGCCGGGTAATAACAAACCTGGATTAGCAAAAGGAGGTTAGTTGAAATCGTAAACCACTTTCACAAATAAAATAAGAAGAAATCAATCGAACTGACTAGAAAATGCAGAAGAAAGTCTACGATACAGAATAAGGTAAACAGCAGTAAGTTTCGGAAGATTAACACTAGTTAAAGGTACATTTACAAACTATAGTAATAATAATAAAATAATACCTACAAGAAAAGCTCGTTGAGCATATTGAACAGATTTCTTATCAGTATATATGAGTAAAGAATTAAAGAATAATTTTAAAGTTGATTATTTTAGTCAGCTCAGAACTATATATAACATTTGAATATAATATACATATATTTTGCGTTAAAATTCAGGTCAATATTCTATGAAGGATGTAATTTTAGATAGCTTAGTGTTTTATGATAGCCTTAGTGTATAGAACCATACCATCGCCTGAAAACAAAGAACGAAAAGAACACTGACGAACTTGTAATTTTATAAGAGAGTTTGAACTTGAATAGTTTGTTTGTTAAATCATAGTTTACATAATTACGTAATTGATATTGAATGAAATAAGATATTAGCAATTCATAATTCTGATAAATTATAAGTTATATTTTGAACCAGATACTTTTTTTCCCGAAAAAAAATAATTATACTGGCAATATAGCGAGATTAATCACTTAAGCCTGGTATTAAGGAGAAAACTATGACATTTGAGTTTTTAATTTGGATAAACTTTATTCTGGCAAAGGAATATGCATCTTTCAATACAAAAATAAAGTATGTGTTCCAATTTTTAAGCATGATGATGTAACATTAAACTAACAAGTACAAATTCTTTTTTTCCAACAACTCTGAAATAGTTTACCGAAAATGCATTGCTTACAATGAACGTCCACAATTTTACATATCTAGGATTGTAATACTGACTGAAATCACGAGAAACACTCGAATGTATGTTAATTTATAGTCATCCGTGTGAATATTTATTACTGAGATACCCTACAAAGAACACTGATGAAATGTCACAGAAAATCGATGAAAAACTTTAGACAAGTTTTAACTTGAATGAACAGTATTCAAAGTTATTCAAATTCAAATACGAGGAAACGAAAAAAAAAAGTTTTCTGTTTTTCATTAGCTGATTAAGACTGAAATGTTTAGCAAAGTAATCAAAAATCATCAAGAGCTTACGTTATGTAACAATTCTAGAAGTAATAAGAGGAAATAGTCTATAGAATAAAGGCTAAAGATAACTATTACATAAACTATTACTTGAAGTATTCTCTTCACAATTTTTGATTACTTTGCTAAATGATACAACCCCACTTTTTATTCAATACTTAAATGTTATTTAAGAAAAGAAATGGAAGTGTTCGAAGTAAAAAACGAATATATTTTTCTAACCTGTACAAAATCCACTTCATGATTTGACAGTCGAAACCACGTTAATTGAATATGTAATGAACCAGTTTTTACCCCTTCTAATGAGGACCACTAAATAAACGGAGAAATCATTAACATATTACGTATAAAAAGGATGAGAAGTAAGAAAATCTTGAATATTTTCTGAGTGTAAAACATTTGCTACGAATAGTTGAATAGTTTTTACAAGTTTAATGCTGAAACGAAATGAAATCTCTCTCTCTCTCTCTCTCTCTCTCTATATATATATATATATATATATATATATATATATCATTTGATTTACTTTATGTTGTCAAATATATCGTTTACTTTATTTTTATTTACTCATTTACTGAGTACAGATTCGTATACTTGACTCGTGAGTTACACTACTAGTGTGACGTTAGGTGACGTTACCCGGGTGGGTTTCGAATAACGACTACTTAACCTAATGTTTGAAATTATGCAGCCGTGTTTTTTGTGAGACTTAATAATGTGTAGAAACTTATTAGTCTAAAGCAATAAGCAGTTAAAGTCACTCAATTAATAGCTTTCTATATTGGCATGCTACTGAGTCTTATATAAAGAAACGTATGCTACAAGTCGAAAAGTCTGTAAATACTGATGAGAAGTCCAGAATAACTGAGTCTGATTTATGTGTCTGTATGGTATATTTTTGTACTTGGTGACAGTAATTACGCTGACCGAAGGAGAAAGTCACAGTTTATCAACCCAATCATTAACTAGCAAATTTCAATCACATTCAGTGATACTGTAGGGTTCGCAATGAGTTATACTACCGAATGAAGAGCTACAAAGTAGAGAAACAGAAAGGCAAAATGATGAAAGAACTACATCGACTGTTATATTTACAGAGATATATAGTTTGGTACTGTACGCACTTGAAGGCGAGTTAGGTATTTGTTGACATACTATGATACAAAACCACTATGAAGCTATCATAATTAAATGTGCTAATTAAAATCTTTGAATGAGTGATTTGGTTTGGAATAGTGTGTTAATTCCTAAGGTGGATCAAAATGGAGGATCGGTTATGTTCTGTGTTATATAAATAAGGGCGAAAACATTTGAAAAGTATAGACAGCTGAGAAATTACGGCTTAACTGTGAAACCTATAACTCCTTTTGACCTTCAAATATTTAAATAATCCAAAGTGCTAAATTAGTTTTTTAGTCGCAAATATAGTAAAATGAGAATAATTCATATAAACCATAATGATTTCTATTTAAATCATTCAATAAAGTAATCCGTTTATTACAAATTTTACATAACAGTTAATAAACAGAATAAATAATGTATGTCACTGTTTACATTTAATGTAGAGGCCGTGAACCTTTGAATTACACAACTGGACGTGATTAAACAAGTTGCACATGCACTTTTATTATTTTTTTGATGGAATGTGATAGTTAGTATACATGAAAGATATACGTACATCCTTTTTGACAAATATTAGGAGGCTATAATAGTGTAACTAGTTCCTAGTTGCTTTGCTTCGATCATCTAAACTAGTACGGAGATGGGAAATAATGATTCAGTATTGTGCAAGTAACTGTCTACATTAATAGTTCAATCAAATTCCGCAACATTTGTCTAGTATTCAAAAATGAATATAATTCATTTATTGACTTTGTATGTGATAAAAACATTAGATTTTGTAGTGTCATCATGATTTCAGTTGAAAAATCGTTGAATTTCAAGAATTATTTTGTTCTTATTAACATCGGGTTTGATGAGTAACACAATATTTTCTGATTATTAAACGTGAATTCAATAGTAGGTACTTACTTTTAAAGCTAGTCAATTTGTGATAATAGCTCAATCCTAACAAAAATATCATCAGTGAGTTAGTTTGAGGCATTTGGGACAGATATAATCTTTATTTATAACAAACACCGACTTTGTTAATCGGTTCATACACTTACCGTGTCTATTTCACCTTCACTGACTACCGACTCAACTGGTATCGAAGTACTACATTGAAATGATAAATTTAAAAGACAGAATGTACCAATATAAATAGAATAGAACAAAATATAAGTAGATGAAAACGACAGTTGCTATTGTGTCTAATACAGTGACATGAAATGTTGTACTTCAAACAATACCTGAAGTTGGATTGAAATATATTTCGTTTACTCAATGCTGTGTATACGAGAAAGTAAGTCTGAAACTGCGATAAGATGGGCTTGATTAATTACATATAGTACTGGTTAGGTGACTAGCAGCAGAAAAAGAGACTAGACAGCCACTCTTTTACACTTGATAAAGTGTGTATGTTTATCAGAAAAATATAAGTGAAAGTTATATTAATGAATAGTTTGACTTGTTTAAAGTTCCATTATTAAAAAATGGGGAGAAGAATTTTACGTAGATTGTAGCTATGGTGATAACTTTAGTACAATAACCTAGAAAGGCGGCAATAAAACATACAATTTTACATAAAAATAAATGAAATCTTAAAAACCTCAAAAATAACAGCTTCATTAATTTAATAAGCGGCAAAAACTACTACATTGACAGATAATTAAAGCTAATTAATTAATTATGAAGTTGTATTCGTATTGTTCGAGGTATGCACTAACCTGGTAGCTTTGAAGGCTTAATAGGTTGTAAAAATGTGGTTCCTGTGAAAATCAGGAAGTTTCGTCTTAGTCTGGATAACCCTCATAGGATCAAGTGTTTGAAAAACATCTATGAATGAGCTGCATATATAACAATCTACTGGTCAATGAGTTATGATTAATGTCATATTTCTCTAGTCCTTTTAGTGGTGACTGAATTCTATAGATCGATTTTCAATGTGGCCACTAGTTTAAGTGGTTCGACATTGCATGCACTATACCGAGATGTTATGTGGTTAGGTGTGATAAAAAAGAGTAGTGTAAGCCAATAGGTGGTTAGGTGTAGTCGATAGGAAAACTTGGACCTAAGTTTCATGGTGTTTGGAACTTGTCACTTAGGTGTACCTAAACTCTTGAGAGGACTGATGCTCTCTAGAGGATTCGATCCTACGTCCCTCTAATTCAGAGCCTGAGAAGTTTCCGCTGAGGCGTACATAACCTTGGGTGAAATATGAAAAACTGGAGTACTGGATTTTGTCTTAATGGTTGAACACTGTTGAGATACGATATCTGCAGTTTTTGGACCTCACATCCCAGAATGATTACTCAAGAAATGCATAAAAAGTTGAAATAAATCTGCAAATCATATATATATATATATATATATATATATATATATATATATATATATATATGGTGAGAGAGACTCGTCAATCTAGTGATTCGGGAACATAACTTCCAAACACTAGATCATCTGAGGAAACAACGTTTTATCTATCAAGCTATATGAACTATTTTTACCATAATATATATGTGACAGCACCTTAGTACACAAACCTGTAATCGGTTGAGAAATGACTAAATATCATTCAATTAGAAACAGATATAACTAAACTTTCAGATGATTATATAGCTTTAATCCAACCTCTTACTTTAAAACTAATACAAATTTTCAGCTACAGTGAACAACAGCACGCCCAAGGTCTTAGGGTGAAGTCGTACTGCTGACTGTACAGAGCTGTGACGGCAGTAAGGTGTTTCCTTCAGACAACTAGCATGATAGCGATGCTGCCTTCCCACAAGGAGGGATAGGGTTAGAAAAGGTCGACCCTAGAAATTCACACCTCGTCTTATCCCACGGATATCCTTCTCCGGCGGTAAGGTCTCAACAAGCACGGAGCTAACATGAAAATCACCCACAAAAAGGTCGTGTGTGACCGACCTCAAGCAGTTGTCCCTTGGGCACTGCGGTCACACTCTCAAGTCACTAAGACCACCTTTGATCCAATTTCACTTTTAGTTACCTCCAGAAGAACCTTTCCACGGTGTGGGCAACCGGGAAGTGATAAATACTCTCATATCTCTAACAGTGCCTCTGTATAAGTGGACATGAATATGGAACCAGTAAGTTGAAGGTTTAGTAACTGGATGCCGAGGTTTGGTGTTCCGTTAGAAGAGATGAAGCTGTTTTAAAGTTAAGACATAAAGATAAGGAACAATGAAAAGTTTAACAACGATGTAGCTAACAAAGAGGATACTTTACTTCCTACTTTACGCTTGTTTTTAAAAACAAATTAATATACAGTACGTAAAATGCAAATCAAAACTGATTGAGAAAATTATTTATCGGGAGTTTATTTGGAAAGCACAAGATTGAAAACATCAAAGAATAATATCACTCTAGGCAAAGTTGGACAGTGTCCAGCAGTGGAATCCAGGACGTGTGTTTCGGCTTAACTGAGACTCGTTAGCTGGATTCACCTAGATTTACTAGCTACTATCCATCTTTGCTTAAAATGTTTATGACTTGAAAGAGCTACTGAAGCAATTCTTAGATGCACATATGTCGAAAGAGCCCAATCAATCATAGTTCAAACCAGAAGGGTTGCATATTGATGCTTTGAAAAAGATTAGTTTAATGTAGATTTTTTTTTCATTCTTCTGTTTTAATCCATATATGTGCATAAAGTGACAGAGGTCAAGGTGATTAAATTAAGTAGAATATTTGTATGCAAACGATCAATGGCAGAGTGACTTGATGATTTGCTTATTATCAATTTATTTGTTGACTTGCATACTTTGTTGTGTATTTTATTCTACATTAGGTCCTAACTCAAATTTACAATAAATAAATAAGAATTTTAAAATGGTTTTGTTTCCATAGAAATATTTAGTATTTATATGATGACAGGTTTCCAGAAAACCTTAGACCCCGACATAATTTAAATTAGCAAGTTGTAAACTGTAGCTTTGACGCTATACTGATGTACGTAAAATTGATCGTCTCTAGCCTGTAATATGGTAATCTTATAGGTCAAATTCCAGTATTTTTGAATTCAGGTAACCCGTTTCAGGAATATTAATTATTGAGTAATATTCATTCTGAGTAGATATAGATGGAAAAAATGAGATCGTTTTACATCTTTCAGCTGCTAAAACCAGACAGCTAATTTTCTAAAGCAAAAGAAAATACTTACCAACCTAAATAATCATCTTTGTTCCCTTGATCTTTATCGTATACTTCAAATGTTACTGACTGACCATGACAAATATCGACGATAGACTAAATAAAATGTTATTTAAAAAGAAAAGTAAGTAGTATTTAAATGATTGAATTGGACACAACATAAATAATAAAAAAAGAAGTTAATGAGATGTTAAATTCTAAGAAGTCTAATTAATATGAAGAAACTGTTGACATCCAGGAGAAAATTGGAAAACTAGATTACTGAATAGTTGTATATTTGAAGTTATATAAAAAAGTGAGCACAGGTGATTTACATGAATGAACACAAGAAACACAAATATCACGACAAATTTATTAACAATGGGCTAGTGAATAAAATTTCGGGAATTCTATCTAGTAAAGTTAATTTTATTTGAAATACATTCCCAGGAGTCGACACAGATAATAAAACTACGAACGAATTTCCGCTAAACGATTTTTATCACTATTGTATTAAGTATGGTCAAATACACATTACTTATTTACACCTATCACTCGTGGGATCGTAATAGCATTCTACATCCAACTCTGTCCTAGGTAATCCTATCTAGTTGTTTCCAGTTGCCATTCATCCTTTTTTATGTTTGTTTGCAATTCTCAACGCAGTGTGTTCTTTGGCCTTCTTCTTTCCCATTGCCCTTCAGGATTCCAAGTTAGCGCTTGCCTCGTGATGTAATTTAGTGATTTCCGCAATGTATTTCCTATCCATCTCCAGAGTCTTTTCCTAATTTCTTCTTCAGATGGAAGATAGTTTTTTTTCTCCCACAGTAAGTTGTTACTGATGGTATCTGGCCAGCGGACGTTGAGTATCTTGCGTAGACATCTGTTTATAAATACTTGTACATTTTTGATGATCGTTGTGGTAGTTCTCCGAATTTCAGCTCTGTACAGTAGGGTTATCTTGATATTCGTATTGGAGATTTTGATTTTGATACTGGTTGAGTTGTCTTGAGTTCCATATGTTCCTCAATTTTAGGAATGCTTCCCTTGCTTTACCAATCCTTGCCTTTACATCTGCATCATATCTTCCTTGTTTATCAATGACACTGACCAGGTACGTTAACCTTTCCACCTCTCCCAGAGCTTCTCCATCAAGTATGATTTAGATGGTACTCTCTGCGTTGTACATTGGGATCTTGCTTTTCCTTTGTTTATGTTGAGACCTACTGGTGCATAGGCTGCTGCTATACTGGCTGTCTTGATCTGCATTTGTTCGTATGTATGAGGTAGAAGAGCTAGGTTACCTGCGAAATCCAAATAGTCTTGTTGCGTCTAAGCTGTCTATTATATTGGGTGGTTCGATATATATCATTTACTATCCTTAAGAAAATACCAGACAAAATGTCTCTTACACATGATCACAAATATCTCGATGAAGTGGCAAAGGCTGTTCCGCTGAGTATGCTCCATTTTCTAACACTACTAATGAACCACTTATTTGTCACTTTATTTTGGACGCTCACTTATGTTAAATAACTGCAATAATTCATGCAAATCTGCTTTAATTGACACATAAAAGATGCATGTAAAGTGTTATATAGATGTCTTAAAAACTGGAGTGATGTGAGCTAGTTATGCGGACAGACATAAGCAGTATGTAGCAGGAACTGGAAGTAGAATGCTTAGCAGCAGAGGTTTGAAATAAATAGAAGAGGAAGAAAAACGAAAAGCAATCGGAATAAGAACTGGGTCAGAAGAATGAAGTTGTAAAGGACGACTCAAGGAAGATATTCAAATGATGTATTTAGTTTATGATTTTCCTACTTTATAAAGCCACTGTGTGACTTAAATTAATGTATAATCGTTTATCGTACTTGAGTTCTCGTTTACTACAGTGCTATCTAGTAAAACATAATTTTTTATAGAGCGTCAAGAAAGCAAGAGAAACATATCTTAGGGTATTATGCAAACATACATAAAGATAAAAAACCAGGTCATAATGTCGAATCACTGAAGTTTGCAATATGGACGATATGATCATGACTCAGAATTCAAAAGACCATTAACAATCAGTTGCTTAATCTATAATTCCAAGGGTACATTGCAGAGTACTTACGAAGTTAAGGGCAAGTCTATTGTGTCATCATAGAGTTGAGATGAAAATTATGTGAGTGAATAGACAGGCGAGATGCATAACTATTTTGATGAACGCTGTATATTAGCAGTGTAAATCAATATAAATTTATTTCTTTTTTGTCAGTTTGAAGGTAATATGTATATAATATTTAACCTTCAGTACTTCTAGTGATATATTTTCAACTTGATGAACCTATTTGCTTATTGGTTGCAATAGTACAAAGAACTCCCAAAGTTATTCACGACTGATGAAAAAGACCTGAAGACATCAATAATATGCATTATTTTCTTATCTCGAACGGAAATCTTGACATAGTATTTTTGTCTGTTCTGACGAGTAAAATCGATAAAGGTACAGTGATTTAGCTAGTCTGACCTAGAAAATGGCCGGTGGTAGAAAGCATGCAACGGAAACATACCAGTGACTGAAGTTGAAACACGGTATACAAATATGCGCACAGACAAGCGCAAATTGAAGAAAGGAAATATTTTCAGTATAAGTCACGAGGACTGAACAAATTCTAGTGTGAAATTGCACACACGTACGATATAGCATGCGTTCATTATGCAGCAAATGGTTGTTACATTTGTGACTCAATTATGAAAGTCACATAACTATCCAACTTTTGTGGATTAACATAAAAGTGAGAGAAATTAAGAATCTCAGATAGTTTATTTCTTAGTGAAAAAGACAATTCGATTAAACATGTAGACTATCAGCCAGGAGTCATTTGACCATCTATTTAAACTTATAATCCATCAAGGTTGACATACTTTTGGTAGTAATCGAAGTCAAATTTCTCATTATTAAGATGTACATGTTTATATGAAACAAAGAGGGCATTAGTTGAATGCTCATGATCCACAGGAAGACATGAATAAGCCATAACTGCATCTTCAGTACTTTTGTTTATCTGAAAATGAAGCCCCTAGTCACCTAATTGTAACAGTTTTAGGTTTTTGAACAATTAACCAACGATTTATACACAGATAAAGTTGAAAGTCCCTGATTTCATCGACTAATTCCATGCTTGCGTTTGATCACAATCCGTTATTTTCAACTTACTCTGATTACTATAGCACTGTAAATTTTGGCAGGGCACTAATATATCTGAGCAAAAATCCCAGCTAAAGATTAGATCCTTTTAACCAAAATAGGTTCACCTAACAAAAGTTTTATTCAGAAAATCGACTCGCAATTTTTGGTTTTATTTAGAGACCGCTTATCTTATAATATTCATTAGTCCTGGTGGGTTGGTGTCTAATGAAATCTCGACAACAATTGTAACAGCTCATTTGGCTTTTGCCTACTTACATCACTCATGATGTATACGAAATGTCCGTCTGCCGACGTAAGGACGAATACAATTAGAGGCAGTTCGTTCTGTCCTACCATATAACTATGAAACGTGACCTAGAAGATTAGGGGAGATTTGTAGGTTGCTTGTATTTGATCATATATAGGTCGTGTATACTGAGATCATCGAGTGAAAAGTGTTGACCTTAAAAGCAAGGTAATAAATAAATATAGTAAGGCGGTTGATGAGATTATGAATAACCATTGATTTAGGTGGATGGAAGATGAATTACGAATGCCGAACCACTACCTGTTATGATGCGAGATAACGGCTAACGTGGAAGTGAATTGGAAAAAAAACGTAGGGGCAACCAGATCAAAACTTGGTACCAGCATATGATGGTGGAGAAATTCGAACACTTCACTTCTATCTGAAGTTTGTGCTGATGATGTCGTTCAGAAGAACGATGAAAGCTCCACGACCAAACCATCCAGCTCAGAGAACAAAACACCACCAAAATACCAGCATATGAATTCATTGATTGTTGCTTTGCTATGTTGGAAGATGTTAACTACCTGATACACGTCTGTGTGATTGCCTTGATCGATGGTTAAAGGTATTGGTAACATAACTCTGAATTGGTCCCAATAGAGATGTATCCAATCAGATCCTGAGTTTCTGAACTATTTGGTAATTTTTATTGCGAGATCTAACGTTTTGTTTATAAATCATATCATAGTTACCTGATCTTTTTTATAACCACTGATATTATGACTATTACTTCTACTGCTTTGGTATCGCTTCAGGTAATTTTGTCTCGCTATGCTATCGTGGTGTGACAGCTTGAACCGACACACATGTATGGTCAATTTTAAACTACTTTTGGCCAACTGATATGTTTAAAGACTAAAGATCCACTTTCATTAGAATTACTGAATAGATTTCGACTTTTTTCTTGGAATGTAATTCAAAACAAAACTAGTCTGGATTCAACGGGCAAAGAAGGGAGAGAAGCTATTAGGTTGAGGACCACTAAGGCCATAGCAGTAAATCAAGCTGCTGGTGCTGGTTGGAGTGTCACTGATTGGTTCAGGGTCAAAGTTACAGAACTCGACATTCTGATTGGCGGTTTTGTTACGTGATATTAGTCAGAGGCCACAATTCATAACACACCAATTCTGAGAATAGTGGAACACTGGAAAAAGCAGAGGTTAATACACCTATTTACAATCCGCCATCGTTATTTACAATTTGTGGAAAATTGAAATAGAATAAACCTATAACATTCGCAGAACATTTAACACTGTTGTACTGAAGCCTCTAAAATGAAGCACTAGTTTACGCTACTGGGATCAATGGCTCAAGAGATTTAAAAGCTGTAGAATATATGTTTCTGCTTGTAGGAGATATTAAGGATCAGTGGAGCACAGTTGGTGTTCAGAGCAATGTTTAACAACAGGAACAAAAGAAATGAATAACTGATTTACAAACTTATCAAAAAATCCAGGAAATTTTATTTTATATCTGACAGTAAAATACTTCAGTAGAGTATATGATAGACCAATTTTGTAAAATACTACTGAACGAAAATGAGTAAAATACCACCATGGTCATGCAGTTTAGTCTGTTTGAAGTACAAAACAATCTTCGCATCAATACAAGTTAGGAAATATTTATTATGCACAGATTTTTGTACAATGACAAGAGTTGATAACACTTATCTAAACAAATAACATAATTAAATTTAAAACAAATGATGGAGAAGGTAGAAAAGCATAAATCTATAATAGTACAATACATTTCAAATATTGTTTTTTATGGTATTCTAAAGGTTTATAAAATATGTCGATTAGTACGTAAAACATTATGCACCGTTTCATGTGCATAAATATTTGCAGTTTTCAACAAATAATGAAATGTAGGCGTTTTGGGTCGTTTTCAGATAGGAATCTTTCTAGGATAATAAACAAGTCTCATGGAAGGGAGGAGTGGTTAATATCATAAATGGGGAAGCAATCACACTATGGGGTAACCTTCACGTCTAGTAAACATAATAATGTCGTACAGAAGTGTATCCTGTAACGTGGTGTAACTTAAACATAATATTGAAGAGATAATCTGCATTTAGACTATTGTCGAAATAACGCAACCAATCTCATTAGTTAACGATATATAAATGTTACATGTTTCTGAAATAGATTTGAGTCATGAATAGACGCTTTACTAACTCTTTAAATATACTGTGATACTCTGAAATTCGCTTGAAATTAGAGGTAATTTAAAATTGCTCGAAACAAATTTATCTTAAATGCTGAGTATAGTGAGTTAGATGAGATCGAATTCGGATATGTAGAAAAACGGAAACCAATCGATATCACGAGACAATGACTAAAAAAGACAGCAATTAAGAGAACTGAATGACCCACCTCAAAATGTTGGTTCCAAACTGGTTCTAGTGTTTCTTTAACAACAGAAGTAGTGAACGTTCTAGCGCCAACTGTGAATGAAAAAAAACTAAGTTGCCGATTTCGTGAAGTTGAAAGAGTATGTTTTTCATTGACGATCATTTTATATTCTATTACATGTAAGTTTTTCGAGTTATTAGGAATATTAACTCCAAGATTTACGTAAATTTAACCGAGAGGCCTCGGAGAGATGTTGCCTGAACTTCACTACAGACAGTCACTATATCCAAACCATACACAACTGATTATAAATTGGAAGAAGTGAAAATATAACAATTTTCGATTCATACACTTAACACTCATATTTTGATTCGGATCTTTGGTAGGAAGGATTGAATTAATGCCCAAGATTACAGAAATCTTCAAAACGTGATCGCAAAGCCCAAGGGGCAACTGCTTGAGGCCAGTCACGCACGGCATTTTTATGGGAAGTTTTTGATTTGTTAGCTCCGCACTTCAAAAGGCCTTACAGTCAGACAGGGAAGTCCGTGGGGTAAGGTGAGGTGTGATATTTATAGGGTCGACTTTTTATAACCCCTTCCTTCCGTTGTGAGAAGGCAGCATCGCTGCAGATGATGGTTGTCCGAGGGAAACACCTTACTGCCGTCACATCCCTCTACAGTCAGCAGTACAACTTCACACTTAGGCCTTAAGTTGGTAGTTTGTGAATAAACTATCGGATATCAAAAGTTGCAGTATAATGAAAACTGGTTCATATTAACAAGTTACACAAGACTACAGGCGGTTAAAATAAGTGACTGCGGGATCATCTAGACGTCAGGAAGAGTGGTGACTAATCTGTTACAACAATCATGTATAAAGAATTATCGACAACCGGAGTTCCAGAAAGACAATAGGGATAGCACAACTAACATTTTGAATCCACTTTTTAACTACATCTATTTTATTGAAAAATACAAATCTACCATAAAATTGACATTTACCTCGTATAACACAATATGGATCAGATGTACGGTGTCCAATCATATTTTTATCACCTGCTTTAAGATTTCGACCAGATATGATATTGATATGAAGAACGCCCTTTTAACATTGATCAATAGTGAAGGTATAAAAATAATTCGAGTAGCAATAGTGAATAAAATGAGAAATAATAATGTTCGAAAATTAATTAAGGTATTCAAAACAATTGGATGATCAGAAGAGAATACACTTAATTGTTTACCGAGATAACACAGTTCAATATATCATAAAATTATAAAAGATGGATGCAATATGGAATCGAACTACGGAAGAGATTAAAAACCAAGAAAATGAACGGGTGTTTTCTATATTAAGAATAATATTGTTGCTTAAAACTACAAGCCACTTTTCAGACATCTTCCAAACACCAACCTGAAGATCTGTTATAATAAATGATCAATTAGTGCTACAATGATATCTGATTGCCTTAGTACATCATCCATTATTTTGAGTTTATAAACCCTTGAAAAGTACGCATAAATGAATTCACTTGTTTAAAAAAGGTACAGTTCCACCAATTGCTTTAACTAAAATACCTAAGTTCCTAGACCTGACAACAAAAATTTAAAACTACTAAGTGGAAGAAGCAATAATGTCAATTGATATCACGAACAATGATTAATACAATTCAGTATTGTTTTTTATGATACTAATCATGTTATGAATTTGGGTTAAATAGTGTCGAGACATACTGTACTATTCGGACTTCAGATACGCGCTTACTTGAGGTAATGGATATTTCAAACGCTGTATGTCAATATCAGGAACCAGTTGAACCGGTAAACGATTTGGGAGGACAACCAACTGGTTGACAACATTACGAAGTACTGTATTCAATGTTTGTCTGAATGGATTTAAAACAAATACAGTTGTTAAACAGTAGAAGCAATGTAAAAAATAGACAAGATCGAAGTTTAATACCTTTTAAAAGTGATTTTTATCTTATTACATAACTTGTGTTTTCGAATTCTCTTGGTGACGTGAAAAATAAACTGATTACCGTGTCTTTCTCAGTCCCTAAACATTTAGTGTGTCTTAATATTTGATATTTAATTCACTTATAATATATCCAGTTATTGTGAAGATTAAGTTTCTGGCAACAAGATCATTTATTTGTGATTGCCAAGTTATTGACTAAATAAGCTATAGTTTGGACAGGAATTTTTATAGTACACCATCATGAAAATAACACATCAGTTGAATAAAAGACTTTCTACACGTCTACAACATTAAATCTGAATAGCAAGTTTATAGTAGTAGATGAGTAGTTACTTTGAAATCTATCACAGACTATTTTAAAATAACATAAAAGTACAGGAAATCTGGAAAAATTTAAGGTGCAAGGAACACAAGTATTTTATTGTCAATGAAATGTATTTTTTGGATATAAATGAAAAGAATGAAGGACTAATAAATAACAGTTGTGATTACATTTTTCAGTCATATCCAGCCATAACATATGTACACGTGAATGCCGAATAACAGTTTATAGCTTTTATAAGAGTTTGTTATTGTAAAGTTAAACTAACAACATAGACGAATATAGATTACGAAGTGATTGAGTCCTCATTGTTATCACATATTTTTAACACTGATTGAAAAAACTGCAAAGCTTCTGAACACTTGGGAAGTTTTAAGGCTTACCAATAAATTGTGTACAACTTGATCAAATGGTTGGAATTTGTTTTTTGTTTAGTGAATCGTCCGACGATAAAGCGGACAGATGTCCAGCTTGATTAACATCTACTTAAACGAAGTGTTCATCTAGTCACGTTGATCCAAGCAATAATAATTTTTAGTCCTAAAGAAATCTCTGGCTTACAGTTTTCACTGTTGCACTACTGGTCATCTTCTTAAAGAATAAATTTTCATTTATATTAAGACCCTTACGTCGAATTCATGCCGACTACCAGCGCTGGAGATCTCGAAGTAACCAAACAACTGTTCGTCCTCTCAAATCCAACATTCAATACCTTGACCATGTTACGATTATGAAACGTTAGTACATGCTTTTGTGTACAGAAATTTATTGACGGTAGAAGGATGGTGATAGTCAGTAAGCCAAGGTTCAGACTACTGCAACTCATTCATATGCAGAGTCAAATGTACAATAAAGGACGTATAATTAAGTGTTCTGTAAACGTCTCATAATAGAATAACAATATAAAGTAAGAAAACTAGAAAAAATAACATATTAGAGTAAACCCACTGCAAACCAGGGAGTCCCAGGATATTTCCCATATCAGTTAAAGAGAAATTGATATACTAAAATTCAAATAAAAAATGAATGTTACTGACTGATATTTCCATAAATAATAGACAACACAGAAAAAGAGATTTACCAAGCTGATACATTTCCCACATGGTATGTGTGAAGTCACTTTGTAATGACGAGTTGAGGAAAGGAATGTATGAGTAGCTAATGTCTAGTGAATAAATTTATAAATTTTTAATGAGGATTTGTTGAATAATATAATGCTGATCGTAAACTCGTTTGATTTACTAATTCCAAATATATTTTTTACTGTCTACGGAAAGAATCATTATGGAGCATTTCTTTTTTAAATAAAGAATATAATGGTGATTTAAACGTCCAAATTACAGGAGCTTCTCTCTATCTCCATAATTTCTATAGGACAGTCTGATTTGGTAAACTTTGTAAATTGTTATGTATTTATTCATATGAATCGAAGTAATAATTATACATGACAAATAAATATAACTTAATTTCCCTATGAATTTTGTCGCCAATCAACTTCTAATTCAAACTGATAGTCTCAGAATTAGTATTTGATGGTAACGAAGGCTAATGAGATCTTGAATTTTAATATACGAAATTTTGTTGATCATGATACTTGTGATAAGCCAGAGTTATGTAGCACCTTTCCAGCTACTGTAGTTTTAAGCCAAATTAAAGAAGCTTATAGATTAGAAGACATTAACGAAGAGTTATTAGTACTAAACGGTAGCATCAGAGTACATAACTTAGTTTTCTATTCAATAAATAATGAGTCATAAAATACAAATAATCCTTGCGTTGTGAATGACGGTGCATTTATAAACGACACCAAGACAATTGCCAACGTTTCCAGTACTATACTTGTAATTAATTATGAACCTTCAGATAACATAAGATCAGAAGTCATACACAAAAGTATTAACTACAAACAATATTTTCCTTAACTTATTTCCAAATCGGTAGTGCCATAACCTACGTTAAGGTTTTAAGAAACCGTAGAATAGTAAAAATCGCATCCATTTACTTCATTTGTACCGGACCTGATATTCTAGTACGTCTACTAAAACTGTTTAAGCTTCTCGGAAAGTAAGCATTTATCATAACCGCTAGAAACAATATATACATTATTGTTTCGAATCTCGAGATAAGAATGACTTGCACAAATACAGGCATGTGGAAATCTATAGATTAATAGAAAAGAATTGAACGTCAAGAAACTTCCGGTTGTTTACTAGCTAAGGAACTTATAACTAATTAGTAATATGGTTTCCTTAAATTTAAATCTTGGGTAAACTGTAACTTTGACTCCTTTAACTTCCTATTTTTTTGGACTTAATCTCGGATATCAGTTTCCTAACGGGAGACTAGTATCTCGGCATCAAATATTCAGTGAGTAGGTGCCTTGAATCTTTTCTCCGTCATAAACATTCAAGAAGATGGAACGAAATTCCTTTTGTCGGGATCCCATCTGGTCGCGGGTGGTGTACTGCAAGGTGTCTTAGGTCTTGTGCTCTTTATAGCTTCTATAAACGATAACTAAGACTGAATCAGCGTGTGTAAACTTTTTCTGTTGGCGGATGATTTTAAGGTAGCATATTCATTTTCTCCACAAAAGCATACCAATATATAAAACTGTATCATTATAGGGCCCAGTGAGGTCGACTTATGGTGTTTGAAATGAACTTCTAGACTTAACACTGCTAAACGTGGATGGATTTCCTTTAGCAGTCCTTTTCTCAATTATGACTTCTGACTAAATTGTACTAGTCAGCTTCAAATATAGTGGTTAAAGAGAAGATGGTTAAGCTAAAACTATTTTCAGCTAGATACAGGGTAAATTCCTAAGGCGTTATTGGGTTGTTAATAAAAAAAAACAGAATGAGCCAAACTGTCAAAAGGCGGTGTCTAAACAACTTATTCGTGATTGCATATAGAATGCTACAAGTTTGCAATTGTACAGAAACTAAAGAAATATACCAATAATTACTGACTGGACTATCCAGAAAGCACACAGTAACCGCACCAGCAAACGGGACTTTTGGAACTAAAGGCTTCATAACGACACGTAGTGTACCACGCAGCTTACATTGCAAATGAAATAAAGATGGAAATTGAAAAATATTTCATTAATCAATTGAATAGAATATAATAAATATATGGTCTTAGTTTCACGAATGACAGCATTAGTATTTACTATCCAACTGTAGACATTCATGAAAACTTTCCTAAAGAATCAAAAAAGTCTATCAATTTTAGCTAGTATCTGATTATCAGCACCATCCCTGAACATTGGTTTAGTAGTCACTACTAAAACACCGAAGTACATTTGAACGATTAATGGCACTTTCCTGAGAAAAATTATGTTTAAACCAAGTTCAAACTTCTCATTTTATCTCAAAGCTGTATTCGAGCTTGGGAGTCAAATAACCAAAGTTTCAAAGGCTTTAATTAGTCCACGAATTTTAGTTAGCTGAAAGGAATTATTGCACTTTCACATCCTTAATTTAAGCACAATATAAGCTTGGAGTTCATTTCTTGTTATTTCGAACAGTTTGAGAAAATGGATTGAGCACATGCTAAAGTACCTATTCTTTGCACATTGTCTAACGCTTTGGAGTCAATTATACTAAGCATGGTATTTAAGAATAGCAATATGCACGATATAATTGTCTTATTTTAGTGTGTGTAAACATTCCCATTAATCTCGTAATGAAACTATCCACAGGATCATACTCGAAATCATCAACGAGGCTTAGGAAGTTTACGTGTTGGTATGACCCTGATAAGTAAAACAAATACACTGAACAATCTAATAAAAAATTTGTCGGCCCTTGAGAGCAAAAACTATAAAACCAGAGAATACAATTTACTCACAATAAAGATAACTTTAAAATGCTTAAAGAGGACACTAATTTCGATTCTTCCAGAGGTCTAAAATGATTGTTTTTGTCTAGAAGCTGGATAAGGGTCGAATTGGTGTAACACAGAACTATGTGATATTTCAGCAAAGTTACTGAAGACAGCTGTCAAAAAGAAGGAGTATTATTTAGTTGCTTTTGCAAGACCTACAGAATAGAGGGTGACTTCTTTCAGGTCCACTTATTAAACGAACTTAAAAACTAAACTAGCTGAACTAGATGGAATATATTTGAAGATACTAAAGTAAGTTGTGTTGTTCGTTACTAAGCCTTTGTGTGTTGCTGTCTGTCACTACCTCGGAGGGCGATACCAAAGCAATGAGAAATTGATTTGAATTTAGTTCTGATGAAAGGACGATTAGACTTTCGTCAAAACTATCGCATTTCATTTAGTGCAAAGATGCTTTTAGTATACTATAAGAGCACTTAGACAGTCTTAGTAATTTTCGGAAGATAGTACGATTTTAAGGGAACTTCTAGTCTTTCTGACGTTTCATATAAATGGAAAAGCTGGCGTTCCTCCGGATTACAAACTGCTTGTGAATTTAACTCTTATTGAGTAAAACAGGGTGTTTGATACTTATATACTTGGTTGGGATTCAAATAAACATTAGGATCAATAATTGGATGAGTGAAAAATTTCTTAGTTGGACAACGAAGAACACGGATACTCTGAACTATCCGACCTGAAATATAAAACTCCAGAACAATTTAGAGGCATTTAAATTAATTAGCTGGACAGCTATAGACTTGGTACATGCCACTTAGACTAAATGTGTAGATATACAGGGTTAAATAACCTGAAAGATATGAATTATTAAAAAGTACCTCAAACTCCTTCACTCCCGCCTTGACTTTTCCTAAGTTTACTTTGATTCTAGCATCACTGTATAGCCTGTGAAAGCATTAAATAAAGCAGGACTTACATAAGGTCTAGGTCCATAACGATTTCGTCCTTCCTAATGTTTTCATTCATATAAACTTTCACTCCACCGATTCTAGGGGGCTACAATACAAATGACTAACAAAATCTATTTACCGTGTCACCTAAGTCAATAGTAGCAAAATTAAAAGGTGTTAGTGCAGTTGGTAGATTTTGTGCAACGACAGGCTCGATAGATGCAACGATAATATCTCTCGCGTACTCACTAATGGATGGCCACATTCGTTTAATAACCTAACAAAGTATCTCATTTTTAGACTTTATTACTTTGTTTAGCCATTCCGCTCTTTCAACATCTGGAAAGTAAACCTAAGTAAATAATTTACATTATAAGATTTCATTGATGTTAAGCCTACCCAAGACGGAAGATCTCTTACGGTAAAATTTTGGATTATGAATGCTTTTTCGTCTTCTCCAATGGCTTTAAGTGAGCTTATTAACCTTGACTGCTTATTTCTAGTATGTTGCAAAACGAAGTATCCAAGCGACCCGACCAAGACCCAGGTAGTACTAAGTCGAAAATATCCTACGCCGTAAATGGAGGCGCATGTCAGAAACAACTTAAAGTAATCCCAAGAAAGTGACAAAAATGTTTGTTTAGGAGGCAACGTCTTCTTCACTTCGTCATTGGAAGCACTTCCTTCTAACATCACCTGACTAGTAAACTGTCCGCGTTTATATCATCGCGCTCAAGGTCCAGCATCTGAAGGCATTAAACAATTCACACTTCCTATCGCGTAAATTCTGTTCTCTGTGCCAAAACGTAAATGGATTGTATTTTTTCATTACGTTTAGCAAAAAGACTGATCACAGGCCATAAAACGGAAAATACAGTACAAGCAAGGCTGTTCACTGACTACAAAAATGTGGGAATGCCATTATCAAATGATTTTTCGTTGCAATGAGGGGACGATTTCAAGGAATGTCATCCCGGACCACATAGTGAAAAGCCATAACATTAATGGTAATAAATATCAGTCTCATGAGAGGTTGCAGTCCATCTTTGAGAAGAATTCACGAAGAAACAATGTTATTAAAGAAGTCACAGGTGTTCGTAGTTTGACAACACTTCTACACGTAACTCTTTTTTCGTTGAATTATGCCGAAGAAATTCAATCACGAGTCAGAAATGAAGGGGTTTAAAGACGTATTTGGAGAGCTATCGGCAAGCGCTTGGTCTAAGCTGGCAGGTAGTCACTAGGGTCAAGTAGCATGGCCTAACCATTCGTGGTCTATCGTGGATGTGTGACCTAATGCTTTCACCTAGGTGTACCCAGTAAAACTAATTAGATCAACCTCAATGTCGAAGACGTACAGAATTTTTTGTTTCGGGGATTTATTCACCACTACAACATCCTAACAAGCTATCTGAACAGTGATGTTAGGACGTAGAACATTAAGTGTGAATACATCATGGAGAAACATTGACTAAGAAAAAAACGAGGGTGACGAAAGACAAGGAGATCCACGTGTAGTCAAGATGATTATAAGCAACAGGATTATCTCCATTAACATACGCGAAGATACATATCTTTATTGTACCATACTAAGGAATACCAGACCTATACGACTATACGAATAGAGATCAGGAAAGTAGTGGGAGATTTTACAGGAAAGATAGCTGAGAAAGCCTTAGTTCAAGATTGATATCAGCTGCAAGTTTGAATGGTTATAAGATACATGATAATAAGAGAAAACTACAATGAAGTATATATAAAGGTAATAATGGAGAGGTAAGCATAAATCTCCCAAATGGACACCGGAATCGTCCTCCTAAACTCTTGTAATAACTATTGGGTAAATCTGAAAGATAAACTGAACAATAAGAAGCTGCACGAAGTGGGAAAAGAATGCTTTATTACAAGATTGCTTCATGAACAGTAAATCGATGTGTTTCCGATGGCCAGGAGTTTCTGGAATGGTAAGAATAATATGAGGATAGGTCAGCATCCAGTTGGAAATGTTACTCGTGACTTTTTACTTTCTAGATGTTTATTTGAAATCTCTATCAAACACTGATTAGACAAAATGTTTCACAGAGGTTTTAGCGCCCCTCCGGACTCTTTCAAGGAATATTTCGGAACCCTCCAATAGACAGCTTTGAACTTATGTGAGGTATCGGACCTCAAAAAGCGATAAGATAAAAAATAGACTTCTACAGTCTACCTCACTAACGTTTAGTCAAGAAAAAGGAGGAAGACAACAGTCACAGTCACCTGAATAAGAACAGTGGAAGCTAACGTTCAGAAGTATACAGACTGAGATATCGAGATCCGACAATGAAATAAAAATGTTGCGGATCTACTATGCTGCACAACAACGTTGTTCGTCACGGCATGTTAGTCGACGATCCAAAAGCCAGTCAAACTAGATGTAAGGAACAAAGCGGTTCAAAGATATGTTTGAAGATACGTTTAGAAGCATTTAATGTAAACTGACAGGTTGTTGTACAAGATTACTTAAACGGTGTATACAAACGTGATCTGGTGAACATGGTTAAACGGGCACTTTCAGTTATGGACTTATCCGTTATTACTAGAAAGATTGACAGAACAGAATTATTTGTTATGCGAATCTTTTTGCTCCTACTGAAATTTCGTTACAGTTGCAATACGCTTACTTCGAAAGGACTTTTGAGGAAGAAATAAAGGATTATAGTATACTTCGTTATCAGTACTATTAAAATAATAGATCTAATTCTAAAACTGTAGAGATGTCATGTTATGAATGCTTAATCTATAGAATCTTACGCGCATGTCATATCACTTTCTCTTCTGACTCGTCTTATCGTAACAATACGCGCGGAAACGTTTGGATCTTATGAAGAACACACTTAGGCTAAAAATAGAATAGTTCGTTTAATGAGAGTAAAGACAGCTCATACAAAACGACCATGTCTGCGAGGCCTAGCCATGCTATCCGATTGAATGAATAAATGTTCCCGTGTTCTCCATTGTTAACCTTTTCGTGACAATCGTTGAATATTAATGTTTTCAAAAATTATAAACCCGGCTTCAAATGTCGTGCAGTTGGGGTCTTAGCCATTACAGAAATACTGAATAACTAGAAAATGGAATACCTCGTCAAGATTTCGCTGATATAAAGTCTTGGCATGTGCGTACAATACAGAGATTATGCTACTATCAATGCCAGAATAAGTTTAAAACAGTGTAGATCCCGTATTATATAACGGCAAGCTGGCTTTCATCACGATCGGTCGTTCACAGATTAAGGCTTTCCACTGTTGATCACGATTAAGCTATGGTTTCTTTGGAAGTATGCTTCATTATTTGTTATGAAAAATCGTTTGCCAGCTATGGAAGAATACAAGTGATTTAAGTGGAACATACTTGGTCAGTAACCTACACTACAAGTTAGTTCACACACAATCTTCCCTAGTCCTATTAAGTTTGTATATATGAACTATTTATAACATTAGATCTGAAGTTGTGACTCGCTTCAGCAAATATCTCTATGATCTTGAGAAAACGGCAAACTCCTAACGTCTGCTCAAACTTATCCTGCAGAAAAATGGCTATCTGAATTTATAACTTGAACAACAACTGGTAATGGTCTCGTTATTAATCTAGGGCACCAGATATTGTTGGGATCTTTATTTGACCTCTTTGGTGGTTCTTTCATTCAATCCTAAGTTGAAGTCCTCTTTCATTATGTAAATGTTTGTGAGGATATTTTCTCGTTCCAATATTATTTGCTAAGTTTCAATTATGCTCTCATTACTCGAAGCGTGAATTCTAGGCAACCAACCATCTTATTAGAATTAGTTATTTGGGTTGGATGCTTGTCGCCACATAAGGATCCTAGTTACAACATGTTTTTGTCTCCTAGACGGCAAGACGTTATCCCGATGTAATCGGTTTACGTAGATTGAAGTTCAATTGTTACTGAATGCCTACTTATTTAAGCTACCGCAGAGCAATTAAATACCTGTTGGAACACAATAAAGACTTCATGTTGGGTTGCAGGTTTTCGTTTGAAATCATAGAATATCTGAAAGTAGACTCAGAGTATAGAACGAGTGAGGCAGATTGAATTTTCCAATTACAGTCAGTCTAGATGGGTGACTTTTGATTAACAAGGAGAGTTGTCTTTCGACTAAGTGTAGTCGTCTAAATTTCAGTATTTTTAATGGATATGGTTCCTTTCGTTCGTGACAACACTTAACTAGTATGAGGAAGGAATTTCGATAGCATGTCCAGTAAAACAATCTGTTAAAACCATACAAACTGCACTCAAAATAAGTAAAGGTAAGCTTATCTATGACCAAAGATTCAATGTAATATGCAACCAAAAAAGTCTGTGATGCCAACGTAATGCTACTGGGCCTTAGCGAAATCATCTGGAATCCGGACAACTGAATATCGAACAGCATTCAAAGCCATGGCGACATGTCATTTGGCGTTTTCTGAAATATGCATATCCTTTCAAGGCGCACGTTTTACCAAGTTAAGCTAGTCCACAAGCACTCCAATGACGTCAGGCACTTCAAATATTAAATACTAGCCTTGATGAAAGCAGACTAAAAACGCTGAAATAAAAAGGTTGCAATTTCAATCCCAAGCAAGCTTTTATCCTGTGTCGATTGGCCTAGGTGACGACGATGTCGCTCCATACCTTCTACACACTATTACTAATAAATTTCCGTTGTTCGTGTTGTATGGTCATCAAGGTAGCTATGGACCTGAAAACAATGAAGGGTTGATCCATCTTGGATATTGAACATGAAGTGCGGTGTCGATGCGAGCTGCTTGGTCAAACCATTTCTGTCCAACTTGAGTAGGCCCTAATCATCGACAAAAATCACCGACGTTGGTGATTTACAAGTCAAGATGACAGACTTATATTTGGGAATAAGAAAAAAGATTATGTCATGTGAAATAATTTTTTCAAACAAGCCCACATATATGTGCAAACGCAAAGATAAATCAATGGAGTATTATAGTTTGCGGGCATGATAGAATCCAAATACTTTGTTGATTTCGTAAAAATGTATCAAACTTCCAGTCAGCCTAATCATAACATCAACGACTTTTGTGTCTCACCAAGTTAATTTAGAGCTTGATAAGCTGTATGTTTATTTCGCTGTGATGCGATGCTTGAAAAAATAAGTGATTGATAGTAACACGTACACTCAGATTTAAATGTGGATATAAATAAACTTATATTTGATAAATACTAAATTTAAATGTCTTTGACTCATGTATCGGTCTTCAATATAGACTTGCATATACAGTAGTATTACTTATTGTCCACTTTTGATATGCAGAACTATATCAGCTGAACTTGAACTTAATATAAGCCATCGGCACGAATTCACCATACTTGAGATGGTAGTCTCTACCGAGACTTTTGTGAATGTGTCTATAGTTGAGAATTTCTTGGCACGTTGATGACTGTGAACAGGGGAAGTAGGTTAAGTTAAACCAGTAGGTCGTCATATGGCAGTTTTGCGACTTTGGAAACCTTTTTCAAAACGTCACTATCTTTTTTACGAACGGGATGGGTACATCCCAGTTTCGGATGAATGAACAGCGTATACAAAGTCATACAGTTTTTAACATGGCTAACGACTCTACATAATGATCAGAGAGTCCGAAAACTTAGAGAATATTGCACGCAGTGTGTAATAACTGTAATGTCTCAGTTAATGACGTCTCTTAGGTAATTTTGTGTC